TACATATACTGCTCATATAACTATACTAGGAACAGTGTGGAGCCTAATACTGACCTTTGGGTACTCTTAGTAATTACACTCTTCAATCCTGACCTTTAATTCTTCAAATTACTGTCTTTTGTCTTTGAGGTACTATTCAGTCCATGGTATGACCCTTAAGGATTTAATGCTTCATTATGATTATAATAATATTCAATCCATGCCAGTATCCTGTCACTACATTGCATCTCCATTTTGTGTAGTACAGTAGTCTTTTAATTTTAGTTTGTGTGTGTGTGTGTGTGTTATAATAAACTTACATACAGAACACCATGCTTGTGTATAATCCTAAATATGTGAAACCTGTCAGTGATTTTTCTGGTCTTTAATCATTATTGCATATTGAAAATTCTTTTTAAGATCCATCTAAATGTCAATGTTTATACATTAGGAATAAAAAAGATATTTTACAGAACAATTAAAAAAATACACTTGTTGAATGATAATAACTGGATATTATACTAATTTTGCTTTTTTCCATTTTTTTTTTCCATATTAGTCACAATTCTTTACTATATCTGATTATCCGTTCAGATATACAGTATATACCACCTTTCGCACCTTCATCTACTGTGTTTCCACCTGTTCACAATTAATTTTTTATATCTATTGCCACCTTTCACTCTGAAGGTTTACTTATCACAGTGACTACGTTTTTTTTTTTTTTTCATTTCTATCAGGTCAGCTTTGGTAGCTGAATTAAATTTTTTTTCTCTTAGATTTTACCAAAGTCATTCATAGTGTGTGCATGCTCATTTTATGCATACATTGTGACTTCACATTTATTTGGTAGTGATTGGTCAAGAACCATGGATTTTATATTTGTTATAGTTAAGGTTTAATTAACATTATTTTTTCCTCTGTTAGTTCACTGCTCACTGTCTTGAGTGAGTGAGTGTGAGTGAGTGTGACTGACTGACTGACTGTGACTGAGACTCTATTGACTCCCTTCTGCTACAACACAACTGTCAACATATAAATGTTGGTGACCTCATCCAACACCTTATACAGAGGGACTTTGATGACCTTCTTGCAGTATTTGACATGAGAAACTTTGTTGATTTCCCTACTCGCATCTCTGGCTCCTCCCTTGACCCAGTAGTGAGTGATCTGGCAGAAGGCATAGTCACTTGTCAACCCCTCGGCTACGTTGGATCGTCTGACCACAAGGCTGTTTTTACGACACTTCAGATCCCAACAGAACGAGGTGAGGAGTCCACACGTACATCCTGGCTATGGAAAAGAGGTAATTGGCCAGCCCTTTGCTCTGAGCTCGCCACCACCAATTGGAATGCTCTTCTCCAAGGGGATGTTGACAACCAAGTGAAAGCCTTCACTGGACACATCCTTAATCTACAACAAGAACACATTCCTCACCGGCAATATGTGACAAAGCCTACAGATCAGCCTTGGTTTGGCTTTCGTTGTAGAGGCTGCTACTGCTAAGTACACAGCATGGCAAAGGTATAAGAGACATCCTACCACCTATAACAGGCAAGCCTGTAGGCATATGGGTGACAGTCAAAAGTGGGCCATTGCTAAATGGGAGGTGGACACTAAAATAAAGCTAGCATCAGGTAGGGTTGGCTCCAAAACCTGGTGGTCCCTGGTCAAGGTTATCTGTCTGATGAACTCATTCCACCTCTAAATCGACAGGATGGGACCACCTCTACTAGTAGTCAAGAGAAGGCGGACCTCTTTGCTGAACACTTTGCTACCAAAATGCAAGTTCCTGATCCAGCAAGGGACCCTCCTTGGCTAGCTGCAAGAACTGTGTCAAAACTGTCAGTGGTGACAATAAGGCAGGAGGAGGTGCATTTCCTTCTTAAATCGCTTGACCAAGAAAAGGCTGTGGGCCCAGACAAGTTGAGCCCAAGATTGCTGAGAAGATGTGCAGACCAGCTAGCAGCACCTCTAACTCGCATCTTTCAGCACTGCCTAGTAGTGTAAATGGCCCTCTCTATGGAAAGAGGCAAATGTAGTCCTGTTCACAAAAGAAGAGCAGAGCAGAAATCAGCAACTACAGACCAGTGTCACTCCTGTCAATCACTGGTAAGATCCTTGAGACAATAATCTCAAGACAAATGACAGAGTTTTTTGACTACCACTCACTATTTTGTGATCGTCAATATGGCTTCAGGAAAGGTTACTCTGCTGCTGATCTGTTGTTAAACCTCTCCACTAAGTGGCACCAGTCACTGGATGAATCCAAAGTCAGCTGTGTGGTAGCACTGGACATTGCTGGTGCTTTCAACCGGGTGTGGCACCAGGGCCTCTTAGCAAAACTTCAAGCACTGGGAATTGCAGGCTCTACACTACGTCTCCTCAGTGATTACCTTCATGGTAGATCTCTAAGTGTAGTTCTCAATGGAACAGAATCAGCAAGACATCCTATTGGGGCAAGTGTTCCACAAGGAAGCGTGCTGGGACCATTGTTATGGAATGTCTACTTCAATGACCT